CCTAGAAGTGGGATCACTGGGTCAAATGGCAGTTCCATTTTTAATTTTTTGAGGAAACTCCACACTGTTTTCCATAGTGGCTGTACCAGTCTGCATTCCCACCAGCAGTGTACTAGGGTTCCCTTTTCTCTACACCCTCGCCACACTTGTTGATTTGTTGATGGTAGCCATTCTGACAGGTGTGACTTGATACCTCATCGTAGTTTTAATTTGTATCTCTTTGATGATTAGTGACCTTGAGCATTTTTTCATGCCTCTTGGCCTTCTGTATGTCCTCTTTGGAGAAGTGTCTATTTAGGTCCTTTGCCTATTTCTTAATTGGATTACTTGTCTTTCTTTTGTTAAGTTGTATGAGGTCCCTATATATTTTGGATATTAACCCTTTATCAGATCTGTCTTTGGCAAATATATTCTCCCATACAGTGGGCTTCCTTTTTGTTTTGTTGATGATTTTTTTCTGCTGTGCAGAAGCTTTCATTTTGATGTAGTTCATTTGTTTATTTTCTCCTTTATTTCTCTTGCCCTAGGAGATGTATCAGCAAACATATTGCTACAAGAGATGTCTGAGATTTTGCTGCCTACGTTTTCTTCTAGGATTTTTATGGTTTCACATCTTATATAATAAATTCTTTGTTAAAAAATACATACATACATACATTCCTTCTTGGTCAATAAATGAATAAATTATTGACTTAAGAAAAAAATGAATCTGAAGTGTGAAAATAGCTTCCTCTGAGAAAGTATGTTGTTATAATTGTCTAATCAAGACCCTACCTCATGAAAAAGAGCCGACATGCCATGGCTTTTTAACAATCCACTGCTGGTTGTGCTGTTTGGCTTGAAAGAGTTTGATCTGTATTCTTATATAAGCACTACTTTTTACTATCAGGTAAATAAAGCAAGCTTTTTTTTTTTTTTTCTTTTTAATACATTTTTATTGATTTCAGAGAGAGGAAGGGAGAGGGCTAGAGACAGAAACATCAATGATGAGTCACTGATTGGCTGCCTCCTGCATGCCCCCTACTGGGGATGGAGCCTGCAACCTGGGCTTGTGCCTTGACTGGGAATCAAACCGTGACCTCCTGGTTCACAGGTTGACGCTCAACCACTAAGCCATGCTGGCTGGAGCAAGCATATTTTTCATAAAAATAATTTTTTTGAGTATTCAAAAAAGTCAGGTGACTAAAAAACACTGAAAAACACAGGTATAATTTCTTCTAAGCCTTCTCCAACTTCAAGAATTTGAAAATCTTTTGAAATATCATTTAAACTTTAGCAGCTTTTCATAAAACTTGCAATCTGGTTATTCTTTAACCTTTTAAACCTTAAAAAACTTTACCTGTATCAGGCAAGACAACTTGAATTTTCTTTTCACATCTGATGACAGAATTTAATTCTATTAGTCAAAGGACATAGTGTTTACTTTTTGGTCTGTAATAGCTACTTTACAATGTTTCAGGATCCTTCAGCAGGAATGCAATGGTGAATAAGGTGGATGTTGGTCCCCAACTTCACAGAGGTTTCAAGCCTGTGATTTAAAGGGTACACTGTAAACCTTCAGACTATAAAAGCTGCTGGGCTAGAGAGGACTTCAAGAAAGTGTTTTTTGTTTTTCAACCTGCAGGCTATGACCCATTAATAGAAGCTTCTTCAGACTTGCCTTGTCAATTCTACTTTCTTAACACTTTTTTTGTCAGGCACTAATTCTACATCTCACTACTACTGCCTCAATTTATCCTCTTAATACCCCTCTCCTAAAATACTACATGCATCTTAATTAACTGGTATCCCTGGTGACAGACTTGCTGTCTTCAATCTCTATTTTCCCCACTCCCTACCAGGGCACTCTCTAACATTGTAAATTTGATCATATTCTCTAGCTTAGGATTTTTCTGTGGTTTTCCCCTACTCACAAAGTCTAACCTCTATATCATGTCATAAACCCCTTGACCATCAAACCCCTTCTAGCTTTATTTCAACACTTGTGTGTCTCTATCTCACTTCTCTAGCACTCTCCTCAAAATCACAGGCACCCACATCAACAAAACTGATCCACTGGCAGCTTCCTCAATATGCCAATGTTTTTATTCTTCCATGCTCACACAACTGTCCTACTTTGCTGAAAGACCCATTACCCATGCAGGCCTCCCTTTCCCTTAGTATTGATGCTAAGAACTTAGAGCTCCACTTGGTTTACCACTGATTTGCTCCCATTTTCCCTTGTAACTCTATTCCAGAACCTAAAACACAAATCTGATGTCTTGTGTCTCTCTCTACCTTAGGCTATAAGCTGTTTCTCAAATGCATTTGTGGCCACAACCTACATACAGCACATAGTAAGTCTTAAAGTAATATCTCCTGACTTCAGTCCACTACACTATTCTGCATTATGTACTGATGTGAAACCTAGTGGCTGTATGACCTTGAACAAGTTGGTCTCCACTTCTCATTTTCTTCAACCATAAAACACAGATGATAATAGAACCTATTTCATAGGACTGTTATGAAAATTCAATGACGATTCAATTAAAGAGGTTAGTGAGTATAGTATCTGATACACAGACAGCACTCAAGTGAGGATGTTACTATTATCGTAAACCTTTTAGTGATACAAGAAAATATATCCTAGTGTGTAAAGAGCGTATGGAAACTTCTAAGAACTACAAAATATTTTATGAAGAATTGGAATGAAAAATTTAGTTTTTAAAAAAGAGGTACAGTCTTGGCATAGAGCCTTGTATTGGGATCATCTCTCACTATTGAGAACTTTATCATAACACAAATGGAAAACATGACTGTACCACACCTAAACTAAAATGGACAAACAGAAAAGGGAACATTCTGGAGAAGAGAACACAGTTTTTTTCTTCTGGACAATTAACTCTTTTCTTGAGGAAGGTGGAACAAGTTAAAGAAAATGTGGTTGTTCCATTTGGTAAAAGATGGCCAGTGGTGTCTTCCATTTACAGAGCTCTTCCACTGAGCCCCAAAGGTTGAAGAATTGTAATTTTCTGGATCTATACTAAAACTCCATAATTTTGACTCTAAAATTACTAAGATTTCTGCCACTGTTAACTAGTCCTCCTGTTGTTTTGTTTAAATAATAACATGTTTGTCACAGAAAAATAAATAATACAAACTAATATGTACTTCCTTTAAATGCCTATTTTATACATTCTGGTGTTAAAAAAAACACCTAAGTGTATAATTATCTATTGTATGTTATAAAATGGGTTTTTGGTTTGTGTCCTGCAATGGTTCTATAAAAATTTGGTCATCCTAGACTAGGGAGAGACTCAGAATTTAGAAATCCATTTCACATGATGGCTGAATATTTTCAAAAGACTAGTTTTATAAAAAAATATTCTAATGGAAAGTTGATTCATTTTTATATTGGATTTCTTTTTTCTAATATATCTTTATTGATTTCAGAGTGAAAGGGAGAGGGGGGGAGAGAGAGTTGAAACATCAATGATGAGAGTCACTGATTGGCTGCCTCTTGTACGCCCCATACTGGGGATCAAGCCTGCAACCTGGGCATGTGCCCTAACTGGGAATCGAACTGCAATCTCCTGGATGCTCAACCAATCTCCAATGCTCAACCATGAAGCCATGCCAGCTGGGTGTGAACCTGCAACCTTGACACATTGTGATGATGCTCCAACTAACTGGACCACCTGACTAGGGCTCTTCCTTACTTTTTAAAAAATAATTATTATTTTTAAATAATAATACTTATTTTTAAATAATATTTTTAAATAATAATAATTTTTTTAAACTATGTTTTTATTGATTTCAGAGAGAAGAAGGGAGAGAGAGATAAAATCAAAGATGAGAGTGAGTCATTGATCTGCTACCTCCTGCACACCCCCTACTGGGGAGAGCCCTGACCAGGAATCGAACAGTGATCTCTTGGTTCCTGGGTCAACATTCAATCACTGAGCCATGCCAGTCAGGCAATAAAAACATGCTGTAAAAAAGGAAAAAATTCTCTTTCACCTCTGGGTTCAATGTGACTTGGCTAGGCACTGGCTATATCCCCTACTTACTTTCCTGGAAAGTCTCAATACTTTTTATATTTGTTTCCTGTCTGAATGTGTTTTCCTTTCTCTCAATTTGTAGCAGGATATCTCTCAGATACAATCCTGAGTCTGTAAAAAATACTGTAGCCTGCTACAATTTGGAGCCATCAAATCTCTCAATAAGTGGATATTCTGTAAAACAAATCTTGCTAAAATATTATAAGAAAAAGGAAAGAATAAAACTCATGGGAAGTGTCCAGAAAATGAAAGGTTTGGCACTTGCATATATTTCTACAAATTTAGAGAAATATGTCTCCAAAGAAGGTTCAGCAAAGCAGTCAGGGCTACAATAAAGCTTTTAACTCATTATTGAGAGGGCACTAGGAGGCATGTCCTGATAGCACAAAGTTAGCAAAGATTTCATGCTACCTCTCATGCATATAGACATACTAATGCTTACTCAATAATAAATTGTGTTCTCTCCCTCTCTTATATTGGTGGTATAAAGGGGTTTTTGGTTGGCAGGATTGTTTTACTTCCCTCACAAAATGAAGGAGTTTCTTAGTGCTTCTCAACAGGGAAAGCAAGCCCCTATCTTGGAGACCGAGCACAAAGCTGTGTCTTCTATTGCATTAAATGGATATGGATTTTCTATTCTACTCCAAAACATCCCCATGCTTATTTTGATATATTAAAACACAGTAAAAAATATAAATGGCTAAGAAAATAAAAGGAACTATTTCATATAAAAATCTCTCAAGTTTCTTACCACTAAGAAACTGAAGTTCCTGGAAGATGGATGTTTAAATACACTAAAACTTTGTGTAGACTGTGGCACATTAACTAATACTCCGAAACAGCTCGTAGGGAATAAACTTTTATCTTGGGAATTTAGCCCCAAATTTCCACTTTTTCATTTTAGATTCTATTCCATAATACATGCCTGCTTTTATAGTATTAGTGTTTTAAAGTACTTACTATTAAGGAAAATTGACATTGTAGGAAGATGCACCATATCTTATCTGGTGACATCAGACACCCCTGTTAGCATACTTCAGGGGTATCCCGGTTCAGAAGTAGTCTTACTGATTGGTTCAAGAAGTTCACCAAACATTGCTTCCTAAACTTCTAGAAACACCTATAAAAAGAAGTAAGGAGCTTTGTAATGCATTTTAAAAAGCAAAGGGCAGATACTGAGTGTTGGGGGGTATAGAGAAACTCTTTATACAATCTTGACAACTTTTCTGTCAATCTAAGTCTATTCTAAAATTAAAAAAAAAAAATTATTTAAAAAAAACCTCCACCTTCAGAATTGAGGAACCAAGGGCCTATGGCTTTTCATGAATACTGAAAGGAACCTGAAATGATAGCAGGTCTTAAACTTTTAATTTTCCCGCGCCCTATTCTCGTTTAAAATAAGCTCATTTTTAAGCTATTGTAGTTTGGGGGCTCCAGTGAGTTTTTCTACTTTTTGACACCGTTTTCCTATCCTACTCTGTTGGATACAGCGGGAAAGGTTAATCGCTTAACCATTCCCAAGGGTCTGGGAAAACAGGTCAACAAAATGTGATAATAGAAGAAATTGGAGGAGGCAGGTAAACCTCCGATTCACCTCTAGGTCTGCTATCGAGGAGCACAAGTACGTACGAGTCCAGGCACTACCGGGCAAAGAGAGAGCTGGTGACAGGACCCTAACCTACCCACTTCTTCGCAAATACAAAGGCTCCTCGCCCTCTGCTCTCCTCCGGGGTACCGCACCCGTTCTGGAAGGCGGGCGCGTGGGCAGAGGAACGCGGGCGAGGACGCAGAGCTCCGTCCGAAGAGTTAAACTCTCCGTGGGCAACGCCAGAGGGACCCCGCCTTCGCGCACGCGGCGAACCCGCGAAGGACGCAGGGACCGGAGGAACTACGCCTGCGGAGTAGACGGTCGCGCGGAGTAGACCGTACCTCGCATGCGCCCTTCTCCGCAGGTGAGTGGCTGCCGGGCTCTCCCGCTCTCTGGCCCCGCCCCCCGCGCGGCTCACCCGCCAGGCGTTGCCATGGGGATCCAGCGGCCACGGCCCGCCTTTGGCTGCGCCGCGTCAACCAGTCAGCTCTGTGGACCTGGCGCGGGGGGCTGTGCGAGGTCATGGAGCCCTCTAGAAACTCCGTACCGGAGAGCCGGCAGCGGACCGGCCTGGGCCGTTGCCGGCATTTTTTTTGGCTGGGCGTCGTCTTCGACACGGTGGGTGCGACGGTGTTGTTCACGGGGGTCTTCTCCGACCTGCTCTTCTACGACCTGCTGCTCTACCTGGGTTCCATCATCATCTTCCTCAGCCTCCTCTGGTGGGTCTTCTGGTACACCGGCAACGTCAAATTGAGTCCTGAAGAGGCCTTGAAGGCCGTCCACGTGCCTTCCGCCGTCACGATGGACGCGGAAAACCGGCCCATTAGCTCGTACTGGTCATTGTCCTTAAACGTTACCACCACCCTGGCGCGGATCCGGCGAGGGCAGCGCCGCAGGAGGATGCTCCAAAGGACCGCTTCTGTTCTGAGTTCGACCATCTTAGGCCGGATACGAAAACGGCGATCAGAGGAAGAACCAGACAAAAACGAAATGAAAAATGTCGAGAGTGGTGGTGCTGAAGACGTTGACGGAGAGGATCTGCGCCCGGAACCGGAAGCAGTTCGCTCCCCAGGCCCTGATGCCGGGACTTTGGACCTCGAGTCTGAACATCTATCGACCCATCCGGGGCAGCCAGAGCTCACTTCATCTCCTGTGGACCGGCCTCCGCCTCCCGCCATTGTTGCCTCTAAGAGCCTGCCTGTGGACTGTTTGTCCTCTGCCCGTCAGCCTCTAGCTGTTGTTGATTCTAAGAACCAGCCTGTCGTTTCCTTGGCCTCTACGAGACAGCCTCTAGCCGCTCTTGCCTCTAGAAACTTGCCTGCTGTCCCCTTGTCATCTACAGGTCAGCCTCTGGACACCCTGTCCTCAAAAATGCACACTGCAGCCTCTGTGGCCCCGCGGAGCTACCCCCTGGCGTCTGTGGCTGCACAGAGCCATTTCCAGAATCTTTCTCTGGCCTCTCAAACTCAGCCTCCACCTGTACAGGCTCCCCAAACCCAGGCTCTGGCCACCCAGGTCTCTCTGGTCCAGCTTNGTCCCTGTAGCCTCACAGAACGATTTCCAGAATCTTTCTCTGGCCTCTCAAACTCAGCCTCCACCTGTACAGGCTCCCCAAACCCAGGCTCTGGCCACCCAGGTCTCTCTGGTCCAGCTTCAGCCAGCCTCATCTTCTGTGACCCAACCTGTGGACTTAAAGGTCACTCCAAATGTACATGACTTTCAATCCCTGTGTTACACCCAACAGGCCTCTTGTAGCGCTGCTTTAGTTCAAGAGCTTGCAATCAGCCAATCTTCCCATGCCCAGGAGCCACCGGCAGGCCAAGAACTAAGCCAGGAAGTCCCTGGTACTGTATCCTCTCTTCCCAGGTCCCTGGCTCTAGCTACCAAGGGCCAGGAGTCAATGCCCCATGAGAGTGTGCCTGCCCCTACCACTGAGAACCGTCAGCATCTCTAGTACAGAGCCAGATGCTCAGGCCTCTGCCAAGTAAGTGTTACCAGGAAACCCGTGTGGGGCTCTGGCTGCCTGTCCCTGTATCCAATTCAAAGAAGGCAGGGTTGAATCATTTAAGGCATTTATTGAGAAGGCTGGCCAGCCAAGAAGACAGGGAGCATAAGAGCATCCAAAACCTGTCGCAAGGAGTGGCCTGAGGGTTAGGGCTATATGGGGAAACTGAGGCTGGGAATGGAATGCAGCTACTGGCAGTCCTGGAAGTCATTCTTTTGATCTTGGTCGCCTGGGGATGTCTCTAGAAGGCGATATCTTGACTCATTTTTAGGTCCTTGGCAGGGCCATGCATCTAGGTCTTGGTAAGGTGCTATTTTAACCCATTGTTCCCATCTGCGCCACCTCAATTGCTTCAGTCCGGGATTGAGTGGAGTGCAGTGTGCAAAGGCCTAGGAGAAAGAAGCCTAAGGGAAAAAAAACACACTTAAATCCCTGCTTGCATAAGTATATGTGTTCTACAATTTTATAAGTAATGTAATTATATTTCAGATTAATTCAGGTGCTCAATCTTTGGAAAATATAAGTGCCCCTACCCTAAGTACCTTGGGAGGAATCTTAATCTTCACCTGTAGTATTTCTTGATCATTTCCAGGTCTGTGTTCTAGTCCTTTCCTCAACCCCTTCTGTTCAAAAAAATTAAGTTAGTGGAGGTGAAGTGGCCTTTTCCTTCAGCGATTAGATTTTTGGAACTTTGGTAGGTTTTTGAAACCTAGTTCCCTGAGCTGTAAGGTTTTACCTATTCTACCAGATACTAGTGTGATCAGTTTCTTTTATTTAGGCCTAGTTGGGAGAGGGTGGAATTACATTCTTTCTTGGAGCTCTAAGGTGGGAGAAGGGAGTGGGACTGCAGTGTTTTTGAAACAAGATGATTTTAGGTGGTACAGGGACACAGCATTAAATAGCAATGAACTCTCCAGTGGGAAAGTTATTTTTAGTTCTTTTTCAATCTTTGTGATTATGTCAAAGGGGTTAGTGATCTCTTACACCTCTAACGTTTTGGTAGACAAATGCCCCCAGCTAGGACTTAATACCATTGTTAACAAAGTCATTTCAATGGATAACTTCTAATGCCAAGTAACACTGTTTTTTCTGTTTACAATAGTGTTGGTTGCTTTGGTTTTGTTTTTTGTTTTTTGTTTTTTAAATATATCTTTATTGATTTCAGAGAGATGAAGGGAAAGGGAGAGAGAGAGATAGAAACATCAATGATGAGAGAGTCATTGATCAGCTGCAGCCCGCAACCCCGGCATGTGCCCTGACCTGGAATCGAACCCTGATCGCCTGGATCCTAGGTCAATGCTCAACCGCTGAGTCACACCCGGCTGGGCGCTTTGTTTTTTTAATCCTCACCTGAGGCTATAGTGTTGGTTTTTTTTTAAATTGATTTTAGAGAGAGAGGAAGGGAGAGAAAAAAATTGATGTGAGAGAGGAACATCTATCAGCTAGTTGCCTCCCGTGTGCAGTCCCATGGGGGATCAAACCCAAACCCAGAACATAAGTATGTGCCTTGACCAGGAATGGAGCCCTAAACCTTTTGGTGTATGGAACAACGCTCCTATCAACTGAGCAACCCAGCCAGGGCAGTTGCATTTTGAAATACATTTATTTAAGTAAAAAAACCCACTTTACCTGAGTCAACTTGAAGGTAAAAGTTAATTGTATAAATGAAACTTGGAACAGTTTTGAAGTTTGGACAACATTTTCTTATTTATACTAAATCAGATGTACTTTCTGCGGAAATCACAAGACCATTTGTGCTAACCTGTTTGATGAACTTTATGGTTAAGGCTATTGAAGATGAATTCTGCTTAACTCTCCAACGCCTTGACAATTAGAAAGGTAGAAAAGGCCATGTGAATGTCAAAATTGGTGCCCCTGCTTTTCCCTGAGTTAAGTGCTATCATAATAGTATACATTGCTGAGTATCAATTTCCTGGTCTTTCCAATTCTTTTCCATAAGTTACCTGCTCTTTGGGGGATAGCAGTGAAGGGTACAGGGCAGAGCAATACTTTGATTATGTTATGCTATTTGTTGCTCAAAAATACCAACATATTATTCAGGAAGGTGTTCATCTTTATTTCATGTTGGTGGTTTTCATTTCCAGCATGGAATACAACTGAATATTAAGTGGAAGCCAAACTCAAATTTTCTTACAGTTTTCTTCAGTTCTCTTTTAAGAGAATGTACATATGTTCTCTCTCCAGGTGAGTGTGTGTATGTGTATTTGTGTGTGTGTGTGTATATATATATATATATATATACACACACACACACACAAACATATATATATTACAAAGATAATCTGTAGAGGCAAAACATTTTGACTCCTTTGGTTTTGTACAGTTTGGACACTTGGATTNTACAAAGATAATCTGTAGGGGCAAAACATTTTGACTCCTTTGGTTTTGTACAGTTTGGACACTTGGATTCTAAAATGAAATACATTCAGTGGTTTGTTTATTTTTTAACAGTACAGAGGTCTTTTATTTATTTAAATATGTTTTTACTGATTTTAGAGAAGAGAGGAAGGGAGAGGGATAAAGAGATAGAGGCACTGATGAGAGAGAAGCACCTGTTAGCTGCCTCCTGCACGCCCCCTACTGGCGACTGAGCCCAACACCTGGGAGTGTCCCCTCACTTGGTATGGAACCAGTGACCTCCTGGTTCATGGGTTGATGCTCATCCACTGAGCAACACCAGCCAGGCCAGAGGTATTTTATTTCTTTTACACTTACTGTGCCATGAATTCATAGGGAATGGGTTCCAGCAACTCAGGCTCGTTTCCATGGGTTCTCACAAAGTATCCTTCTCCAGATGGAGCAGGCTGGTGCTTCAGTTGAACCCAGGTACCTTTCTCTTTGGCTTCCTTCTTTTTCTGATCATTTTCCTTCACACATTTCAGGAAGCTGTCTTGGCTCTTAGAGTGCTTAATATGCTCAATACATACGTTAATTCTCTTAGCAAGAATCCCTTAAGTTGTTTGTTTACAACAATGCCTACTGCGTGCTGGGTGGCACAGTAGACTCTTCCAATTTTGTCATGGTAACGTTTGTGGGGCATTCCTTTTTGAACAGTGCCATTCCCTTGATGTCTACAATATCACCTTTCTTGTAGACGCCTATGTATGTGGCCAAAGGAACAACTCCATGTTTTCTAAAAGGCCTAGAGAACACGTAGCAGGTGCCTCTTGTCTTTCCCTTTGTGTTAGTCATTTCAGCAACTTAGTGGAAGATGGTGGTTCTGGCTAAAAGGAAGGCAGTGGTTTGTTTATTTCTATTAAAAAAAAAAGACAGCCCTAGCCAGTGTTTCTCAGTGGTTAGAGCATCGTCCTGTGCACCAAAGGGTCTCGGGTTCTAGTCCCAGTCAAGGGCACGTGCCTGGGTTGTAGGTTCATTCTTTACCCCAGTTGGGGCCTGTGCAGGGGGCAACCAATCAAGTCTCACATCGATATTTCTCTCTTTCTCTCTCTCTCCCCCCTCTCTCCCTCCCCCCCCTTCTCCTTCCCTTCCACTCTCTCTAAAAGCTGTGGAAAAATATCCTTGGTGAGGATAAAAAAAAGTAGGATGCAGACAGACCTTGCCATCAGAAAGCTTATAGATGTGCTTCTTTATATCACAGGAATGGCTCTAAGGAGGAGGAAATTTTAGATAAGGAGGAGTAGGCTGGTGCTTACTTAATAATTCTTAGTGGAAGAATTGTTTTATGACAGGAAGAACCATGCAGTGCCCTTTAAATAATTAATTGACCAGACATTTATTGATTTTCTAGCAAGTGCCAGGCATTACATAAGCACTGGGGATCAGAGCTAAATAAGATGTCCCTGCTCTCCAAGAGCTCACTGTTTATCAAGGGAGAGAGACATAGGAATAACTAACACAGAGTAATGTAGCAGAAGTCTAGTGAAAGTGCTTTCAGATACAGATGTGCAATGGGTGAGAGATTTTTTTAGTTGAATCCTAAAGTAGGTGTTCACTGGGAGAAGAATTGGAATGAACATTCCATGCAAAGGGAAAAGCATTAGCAGAAAGGCACAGAGGTGTAATAGTCCATGGCTTGTTGGGGACATACTTGGGAAAGATAGCCTGATGCTATAGACAAGGGTGCTTGAGACTCAGAGGTTGGAGAGAGAAAGGGTGGGGGGCACCAACTAAGACCAACATTTGAAGGGTTTTTAAGTAGGGTATTTTGTGTTCTTAATTCTGCCTGTGGGCTCTGTTATAAAATAATGGCAATAGGCCAATAATTAGAGAATAATTGCCAAATCTCTCCCAGTTCTAAGCTGAAAACAGACCTTTTAGATGTTAGCAACAGTTGTCTTTGTTTGTTTTTTTTAAATATATCTTTATTGATTTCAGAGAGAGGAGAGGAGAGGGAGAGAGAGAGAAACATAAATGATGAGAGTCATTGATTGGCTGCCTCCCACACGCCCCCTGCCGGGGACCGAGCCCGCAACCTGGGCATGTGCCCTGACCAGGAATCGAACCCCGATCGCCTGGGATCCTAGGTCGACGCTCAACCGCTGAGCCATGCCTGGTCAGGCTTAGCAACAGTTTTTAACTGAAGTGTAGCCTCCATGGATATTCATCTTGGAAAACATTTTCAGATGTTTATTTACTTACAGATACATATGTATATATATGTTTTTGCTACAAATATGACATGAGGTAGAGTAAACGTAAATATTATGACCCATTTCTCTATATAAGATAAGTACTTATCTAAAACAGGGATTTAGGCCCTCTTGGACATGCCCAGTAGGCAAAGCTTCAGTGTCGAGTCAAAATGATGAACCAGCCTGCTGTTGCAGCATCAACCTGGTGGCTAGAGAATATTCGAAAATGGTTATAAATGGTAATAAATGGGGTTAATGTGAGATGATACAATACATGTGGACAATAATGTAAAAGAAGCCATAAGAACCTGAGAACCTGTATAATGACAGGGTGTTTTGAATTAA